TTTATAAAGAATATCTCTTTGAATTTGAGACTTTAGTCTTTGCAACTTTACAGATCTTCTTTATGCACCAACAGCTTGTAACACTCCAAAGAGAAAGGAAAAATTTAAATCGCATCATATGACCCTTTTAAGGGTGCCATAGATGATTTTTATCTCTCTTCTTGTGTTCAGATGCCTGTGATCTCACACTGGATCCAAACACAGCACACACTCAACTCATCCTGTCTGAAGACTACAAAAAAACAACATGTGTGAAAGATCATCAGCCGTATCCTGATCATCCAGACAGATTTGCGCAACAGGAGCAGGTTATGTGCAGAGAGAGTCTGACTGGACGCTGTTACTGGGAGGTTAAATGGAGCGGCTCAGGTCATGTAGCCGTGACATATAAAGAAATCAGCAGGAAAAGTGGCATTGACTGTTGGTTTGGTCTCAATGAAAACTCCTGGAGTATGTATTGTTCTGATATGAATTATACTGTCTGGTACAATAATAACAGCACTGATGTATTTGGCCCTTCATCCCACTCTAATAGAGTAGGAGTGTATCTGGACTGTCTGTCAGGCACTCTATCCTTCTACAGCGTCTCTGACACACACACACTCTCACACATATACACATTCAACACAACACTCACTGAACCCCTCTACGCTGGATTTGGGGTTTATCCTGAAGCTTCTGTGTCTCTTTGTCAGATTTAACAAAATTTGTGAAGAACCACAGAGACCTGGGAAAGAAATTGCAAATACTGTTGCAATTGTGAAATAAATTCAGCTTGTAATATAAATTTGCAGTGTGAGATACAAAGTTGCAGTTATGAGAAGTAGTTGCATTTCCAAGATCATATTGTCATATTGTACAAGTCATATTGTAAGATATAAAGTCACAATTACCAAAAATTCCCACTTTTCAGAAAGTCGCCATTGCACGAAAATTAATTAATCAAATTCGACATACAGTTCACATGGATATTACTAATCAAATAGCCAATTAAATGTAGAGCGCTGTGAATTTGAAGTTGCAAGATATTCTGGGTTGCAGTGGCATTCAGTGTATCAACAAGGTTTCCCTTTAATGAGCAATGACTTCCCTTTAATGTGGAAAGACTTCCACAAGTGCAAATAAAAGATGTGATTGGTTGGATTTTCTGTCACATTGTTAATGTAAATGATATGGAAATCATAATGTTATATTGAGTAGAATTAACAAAATGTGTTCATACCTGCATAGGTGTGTATTTGTGAGTGTTTTCCTCTTTGAGTCATGAAGTTTTCATTTGCTGTGTTGGCTCTTCTTCCCTTTTTCACCGTAATTACATGGGAGTTGGTTTTATTTGAGCTCTCAGACTTATTTTATATTTTTTTAAATTTCCAGAATCAAAGGTGATGGTCTGTAGAAGCAATCTGGGCTCTTCATTTGGTGTGATCTTATTAAAGCTACTGTAGATGTCGTCACTGTTTCAGAGGATCCACAGACTCAGTTTCATCTGCTGGATTGTTAAGAAATGTTAGATCAGCGTGTTTCTCTTTGTTCAATATCATAGAGTTAAAATAATTGTTTAATGAGTTTTGTGCAACACTGATATTATGTATTTCACAATGTGTTTTATTGCCGTTTTCTTTTTTTTTACATGATTGAGTTTTGTTATGTAATAAATTATGTTAGCTAAAGCTATAATTCAGTGATTCATATCATTTGTTTTTTGTTTGTTGCCACCTCAACATTTTATGTTACTGTTTCTATTTTACTTTTATTTGTGCCTATGTTTTGGATTGGTTTTGTCAAAACATTTTGTCAGGTAACCCAAAATGTGCTTCATGTAGTAACATCTAAATTAAATATCCAAATGAATGATTATTGAATCAAGCTGATTTCATGAGGTTGCAAATGAAAGTAACTTTTAAGCATCAGATCAGGTGAAAATGTCTCTTTATTGTGACAGCTGCATAGTTTAATACTGGGTTACTGATTTTCTTCAATAAATCTTTATATATGGTCACTGTCTGTCATGTTATATCATTACATTTCAGTCAGGACTGAGAGATCCAGATTACAGTCTTTATTTAGTTGATTATACATTCAGATGACGCAGTGATTTAGTGTGTGATTACAGCACGTGTTCAGACAGATGTCACTCACACATGTCTGCTCTCCTCTATTTCATCTGTCTTTCTGATTTCTCCTCTCATCTCTCAGTCTGTTTCATTGGTTGCTCTCTCATGTCCTGAATGAATGATGTTGGTGTCTCTGCTGCTGGACGGGGGTCTTTGTGAGTCTGTGTGTCCAGGACAGTCTTCTCTCTGTGGGACACAGCCGGAGTCTGCCCCGTTTTGTCTGATTTATCAGACTGCTGTGAGTCGGGACTGAGAGACAATGGACACACATGAAGAACAGTTTATACTTCATTTAGGACACACTGCACCACTGCAAGGTAAGATACAAACACACGTGCATTTGTTTCATTATGTTAGTGAGGACATTGCATAGATGTCTATTGATTTTCTATCAGATTAATGATATTTTCTATCCCCATCTAACCCAACTCCTACCCCTAAACTTACACATCACAGAAACTTCTGCAAAACACTAGGTTTACAGCAAACACATGCTTTGGTTGATTTGTAAGCCTTTTTAACCAATACGGACCAGTAAAATGTCATCACTAGCGTGTTGGCATATTATTCAAGTGTGGACATTTAGCCCTCACATGTACAATTAAACAAGTACACGTACGCACACACACACACACACACACACAAACACGTCTTTACCCACTGACCAAAATGGCGAAACTTTGACGATTACAGTGCTTAAGTAAATTAAAGGCTACTATTGAGATTTGATTTTGATATCCTCAGACTTTTGTTACATTCCTACAACATATTTTAAAATTGTAGAATGAAATCCTTGTATTGTATGAATATTTCTTTATCAGCATCAACAAAATACACATTTGACTGTAAATTATTATTTTATTTCACTAACATAGTGAACAGAAGTGATATTGCACATAGAGTACATTGATCACATTATAAACAATAATAACAAACTTGTTGAACTGTTGCATAAACAGGAGTGAATGAGGCGTGCTCTCGACGCGCCTTTACAAAAACTTCAGTGATACACTTGCAGTATTTAGTGCAGTTGAAGGGATACAGCTGTGGCAGGAAACTAACAATAAATTACATTTTCTACCTACTAGATTGTGTTTCATTAATGTCTAGACCTAGCCCAACCCTAAACCTTCCCCTTACAATAATGCAAAAACAGTAATTGTTGTAGAAAAATCATGCTATATTGATGTGCACATACCCAGTAGCCACAGCTGTATCTCTTCTAGCCTTAACCATTTAGTTTTTTTATTTTATTATACTCGACACAGTACAAAATAAATGCTGACTAAGGTATCCAAATGACCACTTTAAAGGGGTCATATGATGCGATAAAAATTTTTCCTTTCTCTTTGGAGTGTTACAAGCTCTTGGTGCATAAAGAAGATCTGTAAAGTTGCAAAGACTAAAGTCTCAACTCCAAAGAGATATTCTTTATAAAAGTTCAGAGTCAACCACGCCTACCTAAAACGCCTCGTTCTAACACGCCCCCACATATCTACCTCACTATGTGGGAAGATTTGCATAACGCCGCCCAAATGTTCACGCAAAGAAAGAAGGCATAACTTTTATTCTCGCTGTAGTATTGTTGCCCCTGCCGCCATGTCGTGAAAGCACTGTGTGATTCGTTGTGAAAGTGAAAC